TAAAAGCTCACTAGTATTTTTAAAATTGGAAAAAAGAGTTCGAAAAGCATTTTTTACCTACGCTAAACTAGACAGTACACTTGCCATTGGTTATGTGCTGATCACGTTAGAATATTTTCTTTTTGAAAGAGTATTAAAATGAAAATGGCAAAATTAGCAAATGCTTCAACAAGAATTTTTTTATTTTAGGTTTAAATTTATTTACCCCCGCTATGTCATCGTACAAAAATATTTAAATTGGCTCAATTTGTGTAAATAACCCTTGTGGGAATGCTGCTGTTTACAGTTTTATGTGTTTAATTACTAAAATAGTAAAACAATGCCTAATATCTAGTTACTTTATCATCAAGAAGTGTTTGTTATCAGAAAACTTCAAGTATTCAAAGCTTTTCTCCAAGTATTTTTGATATTAAATTAAGTAAGCAGAATAACTATGGAATATACGCACAAATCTTGTCCCTCAAATCACATTTTTAAGGGAAATTTTAAAATTGCATTCAAATACAAAATAAATAAAATTATATAAAAATTCAAAATGGACAATTTTAAAAATTATTATATTTGCAGTAAAATTAAAGAAAAAAGGAGAAGCAAAACAACAAAAGAAAAAATTCTTTTCAATTTTTTTTTTATTTTTGATTTTTTTTTTTATTTTGTTTTATTAAATTTAATTTTATCTCAACTGACACACAGAAAAAAGAACAGTAAAAGTGTGGTACAATGAAAATCTGTATAATCTGCATATGTCCTTTATACATTAAGTTTTTCGATTATTTTTTTGCTTGTTTTTGTTCAAATTATATTATTAAATTGGGTTCTGCTTCAGGTGATCATTTTTTTTCTCTGATATCTACCTATAATTGCAACAATATACACACATATAAATGTAGGAAATGATATAGTACCTTATAATACTTTGAATACTTGCTATATGGGAACAAACTTTTTTTTATAAAATTATACAACTGTAATCCCCACAACACATTCATATATATGATGTCTTGTATAAGAAAAAATAAAAATAACAAAATTAATAGAAAACTTTATTATTTTAATACCACTCCTTTGCATTCCTCTGCTATTCTACACCAACTTTTATTTAAACATTAAAATACAGGATATATTACTATGTACTGTGTATGTGAAGTACATAAAAAAGAGAATTTCAGTTTTTAAGTCAGTGTTATACGAGTAATATACTTAAAATAAAAGTAACATTAGATTTGGTTGCGTGATGGCTAAAAGTTATATTTGACTTTAAGTAACCCACGAGACTAAAAGTGTTCTACATTTAAAAATTTTTTTTTTCATTTTTATATTTACATTGTATATTGAAATATTTATCTACATATATAGTTATATAAATATATATATATATATATATATATATAATATTATGTATATAATAATAAGTATAAAGGACCCTTAATGAAAATGCATCTTCGTTTGTTTTTTCTATTGCAACCCACGTATTTGTATTTGTTCTCAATGGAAAAGGATAAATAAATTTTGTATATAGGTATAAGTAATGTATAATGTGTTTTTAAATTTGTATATACGGAGAAATTTTATAAATGAAAATGAATGAATGAATGAAATTCATTTAAAATTGTTTTATGTACCATACTTAAGTGTAGGAATAGGTTTAATGGATAAATATTCTTTAAAAATAAATAATTGAATGCTTAAAATTTTATGTAATATACGAAATTGTATATTTAAAGATTCCGTACCTGTATTTTTCCTACATACGAGTATTAAAGGAAAAATCTTTCATAAATTGTACCATATTATGTAAAAAATTTAAGGGAAAAATGATCGATAGGATGAATTTTTATTATCCATCATAATATTAGGTCCGGTAGGATAAGTAAAAATTTATTTAATTAGAAAAATCAACACATTTTTTTATTGTTAATCAATTTTGCGCTCATTATTGAGCTTTACGTTCATTGAGATCAAAATCAACAAAGTTCCATTTAATGCCCCGAAAAATGTTCCGTTTGAATTTTGTATGAAATGATGGGAAATTTCATCAATTTCACTAGATACTTATTATTTTCAATTTTAAAATTCGGTCGACACTTTAGTGAAAAATTTTCTCAGAATATTTATGTTTAAGGTTCTCGCTAGATTCTTTTAAAAGCAGAGTTTAACTATACTTTTCGTAAAAAACAGAAAATACCGTTAGTCATTTTAGTTCTCTTTAACTAGATTTTCAATCTATTGCATAAATACATAACATGTAATTATTTTGGCATTACATAATAAAGCCGGAGACAAAAACCATTTACGAAAAGCATCTTCTTTTGAAATTTTATACCTATTTGATGAGATAATTTACCCTTACTTGTGTAAAATGATTTTCAAACGGGAATTTAATGTAAAATAAAAAATTAAAATTCTTTTGAAAAAGTTGTGTAAGGCGAAGTCTATGTAATATTAAAATTTTAAAAAATTTTATTTTTACTTGCAAATTATTGAACAAACTTATTTACCACCGATACTTAACGAAGGAAAGCTATTGAATTACCACTCAATGTCCACCGTTTTTCTGTTGTAATATACTCAAAAATACATTTTTAACAATCATACGAGTAACAATACCTCAATGATTTTGTCAATAGAATTATAATGTATGTATATTTTAAAATGTTATAATAATAATAATCACATAACATGTCTGTATGTATTAATTATAATTAATAATTTTTTTTTTTTAAATATCGGTGGGTACCTAAATAACGTGTCAAGTCTTTGTTACCCTGCATATTTGTAAAAATATCAGAAAAGCATTCATATTACATTGTAAATGCATTATTTTGTAAAATAATAAAATATTTAAATATTCATTGTTATTCTCAATTCATTCATACATATTATTGTATTAGGCCCCCCCGGCTCGAATAAATGAAAATATGTTTAAATGAAAATATTGTTTTGAAATCAGAAACAAAAAGTAAAATTTAAAAATTTAAATTTTTCATTCATATAATGAGGAAAATTTTCCGAAATTCTATTCATACACATTTTCCCAGTTTATGTTTTTTTTCCCTGTTCTTTTTTTTTTATTAATGTATTAATTAAAGTTTGCTTTATTACGCATTAATTATTTTATAATGTTGTAATAATAATATAATGGCAGTAACAGTAATTTCTAGGAACTATAACACAACACACTTACTAACAAGCAACAAAAAGAAAAGCAAAAAATTTTAATGTTTTTCATTCAAAAATATTTTAAATTTTGACAAGGTTTTGTTTTCATTTTTGCTCTAATTTGTATGCCATTCTATACTTTAATGTGCCCCCTATTTCTAGCTCTTGTTCCTTTTATAGAAGTTTTTTTTTTATATATGAATAAAAGTAAAAATGTATATTACTTCGGTACAAAAATTTAAATGTACCTACATCTGAAATTCTATTTGAAAATCATGTATATAATTATGTAAGTACCCAAGTACACATTACTATGTAATTTTCACGACATGTTGTAGCTTGGCATAAATTGGATATTTGATAATAATTCTGATTTTAAACGATTATGTTAATAACTACTGATCGCTAGAATACGTACCTGTACAAATTCATGCAAGGAAAATTATTGGAAATATGAAAACAAAAAGCAATGTAAAAAGCACCACAATCACACAAAAAGTTAGTAAATGTGAGAAGTATCCCAGAACAAATTACTTCTCTTGTACGGAACTGGTTTATATTGAAAAATTGCCCTGAAAAAAAGTTCGTTTTCAAGAATAAATGCTTAATATACAGGAAATTTGAGTTAGAAAAAATCAGCGACTCGGTTCGTTGGAGTTAATCGTATAAGGACTCATAAATAATCAAACTAATAAAAAAAACGGAATTGATCGGTCATAAATCAGAAAATAAGATTCAGCACAGATCATAACGATATAAAATAATCATAACTTTCGTATAAAACGAAAGTTGACGGGGGAAAAAGGGACTAAACTTGAGTGATATACTTACTTACTTTTGTGTTCAATAGATTTCTAATGCAAGATTTATACATGGCTATAATTTAGGCTATGCATAATAGGAAAATTATCATATTTTATTTTAACTCTACTTCAAATACTAAAGAGCTAATTAAACAACATTAAACAAATTTCGTTATAATGAATAAAGTATGTAAAATAAACTTAAATGCGGGCGAACTTAGATTTCATGACAAAATGCCTACATATATACATACATTACACTAAAATATTAGTTAAAATATATTGGTATTTCCATTAAGCTACGACAATTAAACCACAAGGTGTTGAATTTAACTTTAAAAAATATTTTTTGTAGAATTCTTAAAAAAATATTCTCTTTAATTATCGGGAAAGTAAAATTGGGTTATAACTTTGTACTAATGTACATACATAAGTATATATATAACACTCATATTACAATATTATTATGGTTTATGTATATATATATAAATATACAAGTATAGTTATATACTGCATTACCTACTAACTTTTTCTTTTTTGCTTTAATTTTTAAATAAATAAAATAAATGAAATATTTGTATAGCAACCTTAATGTATATTTGAAACATACTTTATATTTGTATAGGATTATATGTATATATGTATAGATTAAACAAATACATAATGTATAATATACATGTTATATGTACATTAAAAAAAAAAAACCATAAAATTAAAAACTCTCTTTTGTCTATAAAATTAATTCCCAAAATAAAAGCCTCTTACATTTTGGGGCGGAAGCAAATAAATTTATTCATATTATATGAGGCAAAAATGAAGAAGAATTGAAAAGAAAAAAAAAAAAAACTATTTTCTATTCATTTATGTTATTATCCTTTTTCTTCTATGCTATAGAATACATATACCTTTTTTTTTAATACATACGTACATATATGTATATAATGTATGTAATTTTTCCTTTTTTGTTTATACATTTTTTTTTTGTATGGTTATTTTTACTATTTATGTTTTTCTTTTCTTCTTTTCTATTATTTTTAGGAAGCTGAAAGTGCTATCACTGCTATGAACGGTCAATGGTTAGGATCTCGGTCGATACGAACAAATTGGGCAACTAGAAAACCACCAGCAACAAAAGCTGACGGTATGTATAATATTTTAATGTTATATACATATATATATTATGTTTACATATGCATGCATGGGAACAAAACATAATAAACACAAACACACATAATACACATACATCTTTATTAATGTTTTGAATGTTTTCAATGAACAATTAAATAATAGAAGGGCATAGTATTTGTATATAATATGCATATATCTATTGTACATATATACATTATACATTAATACATAAATTTTTTTTGTAATGTACACATTTATAAAAATGTAAATGTAATATGCATACGTATTATACCATATTACTTACAAACTATGATTTTTTTTTAAGTAGATTTTTTCATAAACTTTAAAATTATTAGGGTCATATTAAAGATTTTTGTTGCATTAAAGTCAAATTGTTTTCATAATCATTAAAAAATTTTGAATATTTCAAAAAGCCAACAAATAAAAATTCCATTTGCAACATACATACATAATATTTACATTGAATTTGAACCAATTAAACCTATCCATTTAAATTAAATATAGAATCTAAGTTTAAGTAGTTTAAGTGTTTTATTCATTTGCCATAATATTAATGCCTAAAGTGCTTTAACTATACTGTTTAATAAGAAAAGGAAAAAACTATTTTCTTTTTTTGTTTAAATTTTCTAAAAATATAAAATTTTCAATAAAAATTCTAATGGATTGATGACGCTATTTTTTATTATTCTATATGGCATTTATGGCTGTCTTTCACTCAAAACAAGCTCTTAAAAATTCTAAAATTATGATCCTTATATTATAATTTTTAGGCAATAACAACAACAATCCAAATATTATAAAATATTTTAAAGAAGACTAATACGATATTTATCAAAAATTTAAAATTTTTTATAAATTTAAAATATTTTATGGTAAAAATTTGAAATTTTGTAGTTCATCACTCAATAATTAATATTGTTCCATTCCTTATTTTTCTTCCTATGTTATCATATTTTACAAACTAATTTTAAAGATATTGTAATTCGAACTGAAGTAATTCTGAGAAACTAAATCGAAATTACAAGTTTACCTTGCTGCTTCGCCTTTTAAATTAGGTATTCTAATTTAAATTTTGGCCCCTTTTAAATTTGGTATTCAATGGAAACTTTAAATTGTTGTTTTCCAAAAAGTGAGCTACTCCTCTGATATTAACCCTTTTTCATATAGCCGGAAATCCTTATTTAAATAAGGTTTTATACAAAATTTAATATGGTAAAAGAATTTTCATATTGAAAATTTCCACATGTTATTTGCAACATTTGTATTGTGGGGAAAACGCTTTAACTTAAAAATTTGGAGTCTTACAGATATCGTAAAAATGGTAATGTAGTACCAATCAGTTTGTATGGTACAACCTTTCCATTTCTGTAAATGCGAAAATTGTTTCATGAAAATCGAATTACATAGTAAGTTCCCTGAATTTTACAATCTGAAAAATCTCTTTAAAAAAATCTTAAAATTACACAATAACCCTATGTCATGCAATTCAACTATATTAGCAGATTTAATAACATGCGTGCACAATTATATAAAAATCAATTCTTTCTACTTTATCGACCACAATTTAAAAAACAAAATTCCTGAACGAAAGATTTGAATGACTGCTTCATATATATAATCTTTTAAAAATTCTAAATCTAGTTCTGAATTAATTGATTACCTAAACAAAATTCAATATAAATTCGCAAATCTATATATGAGCACATTATATTGCATTATTCCTTACGCGACATTCATTTGATATACGATTTTTTTACAATACAATACTCATATCTTATTATTTAAGTGTACGATCCTCCATACTATACTAAGTCTACTGTAACATAATTGCATACGTATGATAAATTATACATAATTTATGTGTATATATGTATATTAGGGTGGGCTGAAAAAAAATTTTTTTTTATTTTGTTAAAATTATTTGCGATATAGTACATACATTTATGTCGTCTTTTTAGATGTAGGTATATTAGATGCTGTAAGATATTAATAATTTTTATTTTCATAACTTTTACAGTACGAGTGAAGAAAATTGCTTATCACATGCAGTCAGAAATTTATGCATACGTTTGACTTATTTCTCTTGATTTGAATGTAGCCAAAACAAATTTTTAAAGCCGGCAACAAATTTTTATACATTAATTTCTGCATCTTTGAAAAAACTTTGGGAGTTTTGAATCTAATCGGCGAGCTAAATCTAATTTAATTTGATTTTAATCTTTTTTTTTTTCAATTATTATTAATTTTCATTTAAGGCAACATATGACTGTAACAATAGAAAAAGTAACTCTTATTTTTCATATTTGTATACCAGCAATCCACCCTAATACACACACACACACACAGTATACACTATGGCACACACACCAAACACATTCATATTATATATGTATAAATAATGAGCTCATATACAATTAAATATATTATGCACTATGCTAACAGCATTTTCAAAAAGTGTAGATAATACAAAATGGGTAGAAGAAAAAAAAAACTTAATCTGTTATTTACCTTTCCATTGTTTAATTCTTTATTATTTTTTCTATTTAACTATGTTTATTTTTTTTTTTTTCATTTTTGCTTTGTTTTTATGTTCCAGCTTTTATATTTTATATTTCACCTTAGTTATCTTTAATTTGCAAGGACAGTAAATGCAGTTAAAAACAACACTTCAATTTATCTCTACTTACAGAAATAAAACGCTTATGTGGATATTTAACTTACATATGAGCGATTTTATAAAAAAAAAAAAAATGAAAAATTATAAAATTACGTTTGTATAAAGTGAGATATCATTGTTCTGCGCCATTTATGATTATAAATTTTTTATTAGATTTAAAGAATTGTTTTGTTCCCCATTAGTTTAACTTTAAATGAATCTAAAATGGAAAGAGAAATTTTTTTGTTCGTAAGTCCCAAAATAACACACGTTCAGTTTAATTTTAAACAACATTAAATCCAAAAATATAAGCACTACAAAATTATTTAAATAGTGTAAATGAAAGTTATTAGCCAATTTGCAAAGTTCAATTATAAAAAATTGAATAATCATAAATTTGGACTGTTGTTCAAACACAATATTTTGAATGAATAACTAGAGTTTGATCAAATAGCCCTGGACAATCTTTCAATTCATTTAAAAAAACAATATTATTGATATCCTAAAATATAAGCAAAATATTCCTAAATTTAAAATTTATGTATTAAAAAAATTTAATAAAATTTCCTGAAAATTAATTTATGTAATATTTTATGCTTGAACTCATAAGCTCTCCTTATCGAATTTGATCTTAAAAGTATTAGAATTCTAATTTGAAATTTTCATTTTAAAAATATTTCAGTAATTTACAAATTTTTTCCATAACGACTGAAATAATTACAATTCTTTCTTAATTTTTAAATCCTTTGCAGTTACTACAATACTGTTAAAGTCCCTGTTCTCTTCATTATACCTTGGCATATCAAATTAGAGAAAGAAAATCTAGAGTAATTAAAGTGTAATTTACAATTTGTTTTTTGTCTAATTTTGTTGAATAAAAATTATCTTCTTTTGTTGGCATCATCCTGCTACAAAACTAATGCCATTTAATTCCTCATTATATAGTTTTGAAATTGTGCAACAAAAAAAAAAAGAGAAAAGAGAAAAAAATTTGACATCCCAGCTTTTTAGTTAAGCATTAATTTTTAATTTAATTTTTTCATTATCATTAAATTTTTTTTTTTTTTGTTTTTTGCATTTTTACTGACATTTCACTTTATAATCATTCATTTTACGTAGATTTTTATTTTTTCTTATACCTTTTGTGCATAGTTATTTCACACACAAAAAAAAAATTATTTTAATTTTTTTATTATATTTTCCAGTAAACTCAAAGCCACTGACATTTGATGAGGTATACAATCAAAGTAGTCCAACTAATTGCACAGTATATTGTGGAGGAATTAATGGTGCACTTTCTGGTACATTAACAGAGGAAATATTGCAAAAAACTTTTTCACCCTTTGGCACAATTCAAGAGATACGAGTATTCAAAGATAAAGGATACGCTTTTGTTAGGTAAATTAAAAAAAAATAAAATAAAATAAATAAAATAATTTTAATTTATGAAAAATAAAATATATTTTTTAATTTTAAGACTGAATAAAAATAAATAATGAATATGTATGTGAATATGCTCTACAATGTTCACGTATACATATATAAATCTTATGAATGGTTATCTTATGAAGAGTTGGAATGACTTTTATTATACTAGCTATAAGAGTTATTAATTTATTAAGATTTACTTATACATGCTTTGAAATATTCCAAAAGCAGAATACAATTGTACACAAATTTCATTACGAGGTATACCTCTGCGATAGATGGACAACAATTTTGCTTAAATTATATTTATATACACTCTTCTAGTTCCTAATTCTTCAGTTCTGATTACAATTACAATAACGAGTCCAATTAATTTGCACCAAAATCTAATTTTTACATTATAACAAACTTGTTAGAAAATTCTTCTTCTAGTTAAACGCATGCGAACCTTTTGAAAACAATTTTGATTTTATATTTTTAAAGTGCTACACTTATTCACAGTATTAATACCTACCAAAATTCTGCAGTTAATTAAAAATAAATAATGAAAATCAGAAAAAATAATCAATATATATGGTATTCACATTCATCACCAGACTTATGCTCGAAAAAAAATAATTCAAAATTAAATGACTTAAAAGTACACAATATTGCATCTATAAGAAAAAACATAACTTGGAACCATATGAATAGATGAAAGATTTATAATTGTTTATCTATATTGTTGTGTGCTATATCTTGTGAATATTTAATCGAAATTCAAATGACTTTGACAATGAACATTTATACATCATATATGTGTAGTATTGAAGTTCATATAGAAATATTTATTTATCGTAAAAAAAAATTGAAAATTTTAATTTGCAAATGTCGCCAATTATTATATTGAAAAATTTATATTTTTTTTTTATTATTATCGGTTTTCAAAATCAAAACAAATGTCTTTACTTGAATTTGACTATTTTTTAGATTAAGTAGGAAATTTTCTGAGTTCAATAGGCTCGCCACTCAGTATTCGAGAGAACCACTCAGTACGGATTTCGGAATAATTTGGTTGCCCATAAGTTTTTAAAAAACGGTCCTGTATCTTATTACACGAAGTCCATATTTACTTTATTACTTATAAGCTTCCTTATGCTTCTTTTTTATAAGAAATATCTAAGAATAATATAAAGAATATCTTTTTCACTTAATTTCAGTTTTGATCCGAAAAGAGCTTTGTAGGAAATTTTAATGATAATTTTCCTACTAACGTAAATTTTTTTTCAATATTGTCTTCTGCCCAGAAAGAACTAAGCATAATGTAAAATTCTAGCTCGATATGAACGTCTCTATAACTCCAAATTTTCATAGAACTTTTTAACTTTGTGTTCAATCCAAAATTTTCTTCCCAAATACGCAATAAAATTTGTCGCCACTGTTAATTTACCAAAAAAAAAAAAGTTAAAAACAAAATTTTCAAAATAAAAGGTGAAAATTTTTCTTGTTTTTTTTTTCAAAAAAGCAAATCCCAGTTTTAATTTACATTTTCCGGGAAAATGAACACAACAAGGAAAATGAGTAAAGTGAAAAGAAGAAAACAACAAAAAGAAAAAACATTCTAATAAAAGAAAAGGAATCAAACAAATTTTTTTTATTTTATTTTATGTTTCTCTCTGTTTTCTTTTTCATTTGCATTTGATTTATGGTGCAGACATTGCAGAAAGGTAGCTTCCGATTTAATTAAACCCACTGTTAATACTCTTTTTGTGCAATATTACGTATATTTAAACACATACATATATATATATATAAATTATATATAAGTGTGTATGTATAAATGTGAAAATATAAAAGCATGCATGTGAAATTATTTTTTTATTAGTCCTTTCTTTTTTCAATTAAAGAGGGTGAAACGAAAATCTTGTTCAAAAAATACAATATAAAGGAAAGAAAAATAAAATAAGTAGATAATTTTCTCCACTTTTCTTTCTAATAGGATGCAAGTATTTGACATGTGAATTTTAACTTTCATTTTTTTTTATAGTTATTTTAAATACATAGTTATGATTGTATATACCCGAAAGGACTTGAGTTTCTCTTACGTTTATATTTTAAAAATAAATGGGAAAAAAATTTTCACTAATGAATTATGTCACTGTAGCTAATTATTTTAAAATTATAGAAAGAGTGCATTTATAATCAAAAATGGTATTTATGTATATTACATGTACATTATGTATATATACTAAACACGGAACTGTAGATATTCTTCTATATATTAACGCACAGAATGTGATTTAGTTGTAAATGGAAATTGTTTTTTTAAAATATACTTGAAGGACACATAGTATTTCTAGAAATAATTTTTCCAATCAATTATAATGTGAATTGTGTTAGAAGGTGTTAGAATAAGGAAATCAGACTTTTAAAAGATGCATTAAAATTCTTTCACAATATGTTTTGCGTTAATTGCCCTAAAGCAAATAGAAAAGTGCAAATTAGAATATTATTCAATTAACTGAGAAGATTAATCTCAAACAATTTGAATTTTTAAAAATATTTGCACTTATAAAACCTCAGGAACACAAAAGTTGATGAAATAAACTTTCCTTTGTCTTGGATGACATAATCAAAGGAACAAGTTAAAGGCAGAAAAATTCATTAAAAAAATTTTTCTCCTCGAACTGGACTCGAACCAGTGACCTACCGCTTTCTAGGCGGACGCTATACCAACTGAGCTACAGAGGCATGAAGAAATTGCCGACGAAATGTTCTCTACATTGCTTATACTGTAATTCACATGATTACTAAGTATTTGTTTTTGTTTACATTGATTGCTACATACAATCTACTATTGAAACACACAATAACAAGAACATATATATTTATAGGATTGTGCCTATTGCACTAATTGGATTGTGCCTTTGATTACGTCATCCATCTGTTCTGCAGTTGCATGAAGAAATTTCCATTAAGATTAATTAGTAGTGTAATAAGCACATTCTTATTAATTCCGCAACTATAATGTTGTATTAGTAAAATTCATAATTTCCTTTGTCTCTTTTTAATCTATAACAAAACATAAAAACTTTAGCTGAATTCAGCCGATTTTAGATTTTGGATAATTATTAAAAAGATATTTAACCGATTAACTTGAAACGAAGCTTCGCTTGACAGTACAAGTTATGTAATATCTTTTGGGAGAAATCAGAATCCAGCATTTGGAGCTTAATTACGGGCCAAATTTACAAATCAAGAGGAAAAACCAACCAATTTTTTTGAAATTTAATATTTGAATTTAAAACAATGAACTTATAAATTTTTTGGGAACATCAGGGCTCTAAAACTGAATTTAAATCATGGAGGCCGATTTTAAATTTTTTTACCATATCTAAGGAACAATTGACTGAATTTCTTGAAATTTAATATTAGAATTATGGTTGGTACCGAAATTAACTGGTGAACTTTTCAAGGAATTCAGATAGAACAAAACGAAATTCTATTAAGGGCCAAATTTATATTTTTCTAAGCATGACATCTAAAACCTTACAAGCGCCCTTAAAATTTGAAAAAAAATGTTCAAAACCTATTTTCATAATCTTTGATCTCGGGCATTAAAATTTTATGAAAATCTGAATTAAATTTATCGACCTCCTCTTACATTTCGATCAGTAACTAAAATCAACACATTTATTTGACTTTTAATTTTATTTTGCAACATTGCAATATGTTCCTTTTACTCGTATATATATTCCTATTATACTGAGAATAAAAATTCTAAATTCTCATTTACCAATAATAAACATTTTACATACAGTTCAATATAGTACAACAATTATTATAGATTTATTATGTAGAAACAGTCACATGAACCCGTTTAACTAGACACTCGTTTTTTCTTGCTAAATAAATTGTTTCATATACTTACGTATATAATGTATAAATATTTCTACATACTGTTATACACATGTGTGTTCGTTCAACTTAATAATAGAACATTATTAAAATTACCATTATTGCAATCGAAAGATTTTTTTTTCCTCAACCTATATAAGGAAAAAATTACAGAAAACTAAAAAGCCATAAAGAGAGAAAATAAACATAAGAGCAAAAATAAAAAAACAATTTTCTTTAAAAAAAAATTCAATAGGGAAAAAAATTATAGAAAATGATAAGATTTAAGCTTGCTCAACTGTCAAAAGTCGAGCAATAAAAATTTTTAATGTTAACCTTTCGTACAACCCGTTCTATAATGCAAAAGGAAAACAAAAAAAATAATAACACTAACAATAATAATGATAATAACAGTAAGTTTTTCACTTGCCTTTTTTTTGTTCTCTCATATTATTCTCAATTTTTACAACTCGTTATTCACCAGTTTTAGTCATTCCATTTCATTCTTTCTTTCATCTTATATTTCTAGAATTTTTTGTTTGTTTATTTTTTCGTTTTTGTTTTCATTTTCCTTCTCATCCCACACTTTTTCTCATTCTGTGTTATATCCTTCTCTTCCTCACGTCTTCTAATTCGGAATTCTCTACAATCTATGATTGCTTTCTTTCTTTAATTTCTTATAAACTTGAATAATATTGTGTTATTATTGTTATTATTTTTCTCTTTTTCGTTCATTTTCTCATAATGACGGTAGATGTCTCTAACAAATGGTTTCTATAAAGAAAATTTTTAAGAATCTAAAGAAATAAAATGGAGAAAAAAAATTATAACTGTATTTTGTTGACGTTATTGTTGTAAAAATAGAAAGCAAAATTATTAGTTTTTCTTTCATTATTATGAAATATTTATACAAAAAAAAAGAGAAAAAAAAGAAAACAAAAAATAAAGGTCTTAGTATCGTATACGACTATAAATATTATGAAAAAGAACAAAAAAAAAACGTTTTATATTATATACGAGCATATTTACATACATACCTATCTACCTACATAAACAATATCAATATAACAGTTATTAGGAAAGCTTCCATTAAAAATAATTTTCCTCTTTCCCTATCTGCATATATATTATGTATATGTGTGTATGCATGTACACAAATAATATAATTTTTTTTTATTTCATTCTTATTATCCTTTATATACGTATATATATAGATTTTCAACAAAAGAAGCTGCAACACATGCAATTGTAGCAATTCATAATTCAGAAATAAATTCACAACCGGTTAAATGTTCATGGGGTAAAGAAAGTGGAGATCCAAATAATGCACCAGCAATTGCTAGTCAAGCATTAAGTCAAGCTGGATTTCCATTTGGTACACCATATGGACAACAAGTAGCTGGTTATTGGTATCCACCAGCACCAACAGCATATCCAACGGCACCGGCACCATCAACACCATTACAAGCTGGGCAATTTTTACAAGGAATGCAAGGATATACATATGGTCAATTTGCTGGTTATCAACAAGGATATATGGGGTAAGAATAGATTTTTTTTTTTCTATTTATTTTCTTATTTTATTCTTGTATATTATATTTTATAAAGTATGTGTGTATATGTATAGAAAATGGATTCATTTTAGATTCTAGATATTAATAATAGAAAAGTATGTTTAGAGAATGCTGTTGAATTTTTTTTTACTTTTTTTTTTTTTTTAAATTCATTTGAAAATTATTTGTTTTTCATTTTTTTTTTCTCTCTTTTTTTTTGTTGTTTTGTGCACTATCACCTTTATTTAAGAAAATAAAGAATTTGAAATGGATTTTAGTGTTTTTTTTTTGTTGTTGTAATTTTAAAATATTCCTATGGTACTTTTTGTATATACTCACATACATAATACTTATAGATACAAATATGTATATTTTTAAAATAAATAGACAACAAAGGGAAGTGAAAAATTCAGAAAATATAAAAAAAAAAATATGCTAGTGGTAAATGGGAAATGCAAAAATGCATTTTTGTACAATAATAAAATATAAAAAAATATTGCACCATCTAACTTTTATCTTAGTGTTCCGTTGGTTTTGGGTTTTTATGTTCTTCTTTTGATTTTGTTTTTTGTTTTTTGTGTTCTGTACACCTATAGAAGTGAACGTTTTATACACCACTTTAGTTTTTTTCTATTTTTATTTTTATTTTTTTTTATTTAAAAAAATTCTCATATATAAATTATATATATATATATATATATATATATTTTATATAATAATAGAACAATGCATGTTTTATACACTTCACATGTTATAAGCAATGAAGTACAATCATAATTTTATATATACACATACGAGTATGTACAAATATATCTTTGGAAAAAAAAAATATTCTAAAACCATGAATTGAGGGTTTTCCTTTTTAAATTTTTATGATTTCTTGGAAATATTTTATACCTCAATTTTCTTATACAAAAAAGAAAACAAAAAAAAAAAAGAGTGAAATAAACAACAGAAATGTGGTTAAATGGTGTTGCAATTTTGTTCAAGTCAACCAAAAGGTATTCAGAATAATACTAGAATAAAAATAATAGTTTAGTGAATTTTATAATCTAAACTATTTCAAATATTAATATTTTTGCAAGTAGTTATAGTTTAATAATAATTGGTTGTTAATCATACAATCCAAATTAGGACTGTTTGTAAAAGACAAAGAAAACAAATATATTTTAATTTTATTGTTAGTAAAATTAAAATATATATAAAATTTAATACAATATTTTAGAACATTAAAATTAATAGTTTCACTTATTAGTTGGACTCATTCGAATCGAACAAAATTTAAAGTTTCTTAGAATTTCCTTGATATATTGCAAAAATATATGAAATAATTTAATAATAATTATCATTTAAATGAGCGAGATACACAGTCTGCCTAAAATACTATACGAACATTCTTTTAGATAATTTTATGTGCAATTTTCAATTAAACCAAATTATAATACAATAACTTTATTTTTAACATTATACTGACATACTTCAATATTACTTTGTATAGGGTCATTACTTTAGATTTAAAATTCTATAGGTATTTAAATATTATTGTACCGTACCAGATTATGTCAAAGAATTTCCGACCCTAAAATACTTTCAAGTCAAAAATTTGTACTATTGAATTAAAAATTTATTAACACAATGGAAATTTCTTCATACAAGTGCAGAACAGATGGACTAGAACTGGACTCGAACCAGTCACCTACCGCTTTCTAAGCGGATGCTCTACCAACTGAGCTACAGAGGTATGAAGAAATTTCAGACGAAATGTTCTTCATATTGCTTTATACTGTAATCCACATGATTACTGAGTATTGTTTACATTAATTGTGATGCTATATGCATTCTTCTACTTGAAACACATAGGTATTTTGCCTATTACACTAATACATTGAATTACTAATACAAAGTGGAGTTGTTTTAATTAATAAATATAGTGCCTATTAAAACAACTACACGTTGTACTCGTATTTGTAATTCAATAAAAATTTATTCTTCATTTCAACAATTTCGGTATTATAAAATAATTGGCGTTGAACAGATTCAAATGCAATAACACTTTATTGGATTTCCATGAATTTCTTGAATTAAAAAATATTGAATTTCTGAATTCAAAAGTTTCGTAATATTTTTTTTATTTGATTTAATTTTCAATGATCGTGATGACACAATTTTGAGTCAATAATGAAAATAAGTTAATTGTAAAAGTAAATATGAAACTATTCCTTTACACTGTTTGCAAACGTGTTTGAAAAGGCTTAAAAAAATTATTCAATGTTTATTTCAATTTATTTCGTTAGCCTTACAAACCTTACTATTATAGAGAAGAAAAATAAGAAAAAAAAAAAACAAAATCTAACCAAATGGAAAATTTCTTTATTTTCAATGCTGCCATATACTAAACTTATAGAAGAATAAAAAAACAAAAAACATAACAAAAAAACCTTTTAAAAATGTTAAAATATTATGAGAAATTTTTATTTTTCCGTTATCCTGAAATATTTTCCTAGTTTTTATTTTCCATTTTTATTTTTTGTTTTTTTTCCTACCACCTTTTTTCTTCTTGAATAATTTTTCGTTTTTAATTTTTTTCTTGTAAACGTGTACGTTTTTTTTTTACGAATGTTTTATTGAAATCCTCCATTTTTTTTTCTCTGTTTTTTGTTTCACCCCATTACATAACCATAGGAATTTTGTGTGCATTCAAGGTGATTTTTTTTTTTTTCATTTGTAAGTTTTTTTTATAGCTTTTATAATTTCGAACATTTTTTTTTTGAGTAGAACAACCAGTTGTTGTTTTTTTCTTACTCTAACCATAATTGTACTGCATATTATGTAAAAAGTAATAAGAAAAATGCGAAAACACAAATAAAATACATTCAATTTACTATAGTAGTAAAATGTATATATATACAAAAAAAAAAAATAACAATGATAATAACTAAAAAAAAAAAAATCAGATTTTGCTTTCATTAAGATTTTTGTATTGTACCTTTTCTTTTTCAAATTTTTTTTTACATTTTTGTATATTTATGGGTTTCTACTTGTTTTTTTTTCTCCTTTTTATTAATGTACATAATAGAATGGGAGTACAAATACCAGGAGCATGGCAAAGTGTACCAGCTCAAGCACAAATACCAGCTGCAACTGCACAACAAATTGCTCAAGGTGTTGGTAGTGCATTACCACAAGCGACCGGTGTTGTTGCATATCCAATGCAACAATTTCAAGTTAGCCCACAGGTAAATTTTAAAATAAAATTTATTTTCTTCTTTTCTTTTATTGTTTTGTTCTTTTTTGAACTTGTGTCTTGTACATTTTATCTTTTTTTGTTGTATTTGTTTTTTTTTTTTGTTTTGTTAAATAAAACGTACAATAGTGTTAGTATATAAGATTTTCATTTTCTTTTTTGGTTTATTTTGTTTTCTCGTTATTAATGATGCAAAGTTAAATATATTTTATAAATATAATGTTTGAAATAAGGAAATTATTTAAATAAAAAATTTTGTAAAATTTTTTGAACTGCATACAAAATGAAAATGCTTTATAAAATTTCGAAAATATCAAATTTTGTTAATTTGTTTTTTTTTTGTTCCACATGATACACAAGCTACTTATATACATACAAATATTAATTGTTAAGAAATTAAATTTGAAAAGGAAAAAAAAGTAAAAAATAATAAATAATTTTAAAAAGAAAAATAAAATTTTTTTTTTGTGATAAAAAATTTTTTATAAAAAATTTTAAAAACATAAAATTGACCTTTATATTAAAATTAGGTCATTTTTTTTAAATTTATAGTTGATTTAACAATAATATACTAAGACTTGGTGATGACCGAAACAATAAAATTAATAAAAATCTTTCAGATTACCAAAACAATTTTAATTTACATGAAATATAATAGTGATACCATAGGGCATGTTAGTTTTAACGAAATAGAAAATTAGATTGTTATACAATTAATAAAATTGTTATACTATTAATGAAAATCGGAGTGATTTCAAATTAATTTTCCCATATATCTTAGAAATAGATCTATAGTTTTTGAAAAATAAACTGGCACTATAAAATTTTTTTATAGAAATTCAATTTTTTATTTTGCCTCCAATTTTAACGGTATTTCTAACAAATGAATTAGTTGAACTTAAATTAAATGTACAAGATTTAAAAAAAATCGCTGCCCATATTATATTTTCGGATTCGACAACTCTTATAGTATACTCATACTGTAAGTTCTATATCAAAAATAAAAATAATTAATCATTATTTACAACATTATTCCAATATCTTTTATAAAATATTTTATTTGGGTCTGACATACAAATCATTTGTTATCTTTCAATTCCAAAATCAATTTCCATTACTTTAGTCACCATTTAGTTATATTAATGTACTCAATCAGTATGAATAAAACAATAGTAAATTAACCAATAAAATTTTAATCAGATAAATTATTTTAATATTTTACTTTGATATTTTTTATTCTTATAATTAATTTCAAAAATATTATTATTAATTGCATACAAATAAATAAGATTCTAAGCTAATTTGTCTATTTAGTCGGTATTTATTTAATTTAATATATGATCATAAATTATAGGTTCTATTTAAATTAAATTATGACAAATTAATTACTATGACCACAAACACATACCAATTGTGATTTTATTTAGAAATTATTAGATATTTTATGTGAACGTAAATCGGTGCTTTAAATTTCAAATTAGAATTTTTCTTAAAACGTTTCTTAATCTGAGAATACAGATTTGAATTATAAAATCAATTATGATTTATATAATATTTAAAATAATTACAGAAAATCATGTTAATTTTTAATGACCAAACTATATTTTTCAATGTATTGGATTCATATATTGGTGTTGTAAAAAAACTTCCATTTTCAAAAGGATATGTATGAAATATAGTTATAATTTATAGAGTTTTCTTTAAAATTTAAAAATCCAATAATAATATTTGAAATTTATCATATTTATTCGAAAATCTACTTTTAATATTTATTAAGCTTTTAAAATCTCCCAATTTGATTAAGTAGAAAATTTCACACCAGTTTTTGATTTCATAAAGGTAAAAATAAAATCGTAATCACTATAGTATTATTTATAATATTGACATAAATTAAAAAAATAAAAAAAAAATTGTACAAATTAAAAAAAGGAAACATTAAATGAAATTAAAATTATCCTCGTTAACAATTTATTTTAATTATTATCCTTTTGTTGAAATGAAAAGTTTTATGGTAGATTTTTCTTATTAAATAATTTTAAACATTTTTCAATTTTTCATTTTATTTTATGTTAATTTAATTTTTTAATAAAAAGGAAATATATTATTTATTAAGAACATTATTAAACATTATTGAATTAAATTTTAATTAATTTCTGTATTTTATTGTGTATTTTTTTTTTTTTTTTGGTACAATAATATTATATAAATTGTTATATAATAAATATTCTTCAAATTTCGTATAAAACTTTAGCCGCAAGATACTAATAAATAAAATATTGTACAAAAATATAACAGAAATAATAACAACAAGAATAATAATAATAATAAGAAAAATTAAAAATATAATAAAAATTAAAATAACAATAAAATATAAAAGAAAATTCTCTAGCCAATCGGAAATGGTGTTAAATAATTCATGTTAAATGTGCTATATACAAATTATGACTTTAGGTTAAAAAATTTTTTTTTATTAATATATTATTGTCAGGTGTGCACTAATGTACAATAATTAATAGCAGGTAAATAGCATATATATTTTGTATATATATATATTTTTTTAATGTTGCAGTTAAAATATGCCTAGGTATACATGTACATATTATGTATATGTATGTTGTTCTGAATTTTCATATTGTTTTTTTAATTGCATTCCAATATTTTATTGAATATTGAATACGAAACGTTTGTATTACACTTATTGGATTTTCGATTTATTTGTTTAACTTCTTTAAACTGGATGCAATTATTATATTTGTAGGGTATTATAAATTTATGAACCCATTTACAAAGTTAAGAAAAATGAATTCGAAATATTTAAATTTACATATATATATATATATATATATCTAATATTTCGAATTTGTTCGAGTATATTTTTGTTCTCTATCATTCGTTAGGCCTTTCGTTCGTTACTGCAATTCATCAAAACAATCATTACAATTGCGACGAATATAAATAATGTCGCGAAAAAGTAAATACCAGAAGGAATTTTGTAGTCAAAATAAAAGCCTCAAATGACCTGAAATTTCCTGCTAGAGTACTAAAATTTAGAATAGATGAGTAAAACAAGAACTTTTAGAAAACACTACTACAACTAGAATACGAGCTGCTCAATAGCATAGCCATAGATGATATTATATAAAAATAAGTATTCGGAATAGTGTAAGAAACTTCATGGTAGATCATACATGACACCCTCATGTGACCATGTAGTGATAGGGTATCAGAAAATTAACGAAGCCAACTGAACAAAATCAAAAGAGAAAAGAAAATCATTCAATTTATTCGAGATTTTCTTATAATTCAAATATATTAATTAATAGTGTAAATTTTTATTATTTATTGAAAACTTAATTCATATGAATATTAGTGAATATATTATTATATGAATTATTGTTAACAATTCGCATTAATATTAAAACGGAAGTTAAAATATAACTTGAGTAAACCACATTGTTAACATAACGCATTTCAACAAGATTATTTTAGCAGCGGCCAAAATATATAATTATAGTCATTAAATTCTTAGATCCTTACTTAATTCTGACCTACATAGGCTAACCTATTTTCAATTTTAATTTTAAGTAATAACTTATTTTATCGAAATAAATAATAGAGCTGTGTTGAATTATACACACAAAGGTAAATTCTATGAGTAATAAAATAAACTATAATATTAATTAAAAAAAATAATTAATATAAGCTTTCCCTTCAATAAATTTTGATAATTTTTAATTTGCTATATCAAATAAAATAAATAATTATAAATATATATATTTAATTGTGTATTCTAAATTAAAAAATAAATTTATAAATTTTATAAATTTTATAATATGTTTCTTAAATATAAAAATAATTATTATCTGTACAGGAGAATTTATAAAATGTGATTTTACAAGTGTCATAATGCGATTGCATATTCTTTAAAAAAATTCAGTATGCATTAACATTGTGACGTTGTACTGTCATATTACTGTCATACTACATACACTTAAAACACTTAAGAACACGTTTACTTTAAAATACTATAAGGTTTTTTTCGTTTTTAAAACGTTTTACTTATTATTTTTTTTTTTTTTGGATAAATGAAAGCGAAAATTTCAAATAAAATTAATAAAAATTTTTAAAATAAAAAGCATTATATTAAAATTTATATTTTCTTTTAAAATTTCCTCTATAATTCTCTTCCAAATATGCATATACTAATGAAAATTTTTTTAAAATCAATATCACATAATATTTATATATTTATTTATATATATATATATAAATTCAAAACAGTTAGCAGAAGATGAATGGCTTGCCCCAAGTTTATTAGTGTAGCTGCCTAGATGGCAAATTCAACCTTCAACAGCAACAGCACCAACAGGTGCAACAGCAATATCAGTTCAACCAGGAGCACAACATCAAACAATAATATCACAAACAGCAATTACATCACCAACAGCAGTTAATGGTACAACTGCTGTTGTTGGATCTATACCAACATCATGTTCATATATTGGACAACAGCATACAATTAATCATCAGCCTCATCATCATTATCAACATCATAATCATCAACAGCAACAGCAATCAATTAGATATGCAACAACTGGACAACATCATACAATATGCGGTTGTACACCAACATTTTTAAATGTCAATGAATCATCCCCAACAGCAACAGCAAATTACACAACAGCCACCCAATTATATAAAAATCAATCAATTTAGCTATACAATAACGATAATAGTTTTAAATATATAAGTAATAATAATAATAATAAAATTCAAAATGAAAATGAGGATGAGCATGATATTGTTTTGCAATACTTTTTGAAACGAAGAAAAAAAAATTTAAAAATTTTATCCTAAATAAATTAGAACATCGAATATCTATTTGTGCATGCAATATGGCAAATACCATATTTTAATATTTTTAAAACAAATTTTATTTGATTTTTTCATTATTAAAAAAATAATAATTAATTTGAATGCAATAATCATAATGAATATTTTCATTTTATTTTAAGTGTATCCCAAAAATATGCAATTTTTTTAAATTTTGTTACAGTTAAAATTTTTCAAAAATACGCATAAATAAAGCTGAGACTTAGGTCAACAAAAAATTTAAAAAATTTAAATAGATTTGAAAGGTGAATAAATTTTACAATCGTAAATTATGCCCTCTTCGTTTAAAAATGCAAAACATTTAATTTAACAAAAATCTGAATTGTGATATTCATCACTGAAAATTATGTATTCGAGAGCTTTAATTAGGATGAAAAATCAATTTTTTTTTTCTTCTTCACTCCGGGGATTGAACCCGACTACTTTCGGTTAAAAGACCGGTGCAATAATCACTGCACCAATGGTCAGGTAGGATGAAAAATTAATTTCAAAAAATTTCAATAAAAACCTAAAATCTAGATTTTATGTAAAGCTTACATTACATGACTAGTCTACAAACACATTGTCCCACATTTATTAAACACACAAATACCTTTGTTTTAGGACCATGTTACCTATTTATCAACACACTTTGAATTTTTTATGAATTTCTTTTTAATTATGTAAAATACAAGTTCAAAATATTGACTTTGTGTAATATTAAATTTTCAACTGTATTCAACCTTTTTACAAAAAAAGGACTTGAAAAAAAAGCATATTTGAATGAAATTTTCAACAACAATAATTACACTTATTTTTTTATCTACATTATTTTATAAAGGAAATTAATTTTTTTTTTTTGTAAAAAAATTATAAAAATAAAACCAACAACAACTATGAAAACAAAAGGAAAATTGCATTATAATATAAAATAAATTTTAATTGTGTCAAACGTGACTAAATATAATGGAAATTGTAACTGCAATCCCGAAAGCAAATTTTGGTCTTACAATTTACACTTATTCTATGCATGGTTTTAATTAAATTTAATAGAGAGAAAAGGTTTTTCATGTAAAGTTTTGTTTTGTTTTATTTATTTACATTTTTTTTGTTTTGTATGAATAACATATTAAAAAGATAAAGGTTGACTATATTAATTTTATTGAAAATTATTTACTCAAAGGAGGGGGGGGGAGGGGGAAGTAAGTTCCTTGAAAAAAAAATTTAAACAAATAGATTTTGGTTAAGAAACAAAGAACAGGGTTAAAAATTACTATACAGTATAAAAATTTTCATAAATTAAGTCCATTGTCTCAATATAAGAGCAATTTTAAAGTATAGTAAAGCACAGTTAACTTCTTTTTTATTCAAATTTATTTTAAAAATTTCAATGACTAATTCTCAACAATATTTTAACTTTAAATTCTCACATTTAAAATCTCTCTCCGCTTCTATAAATTTTAAAGAATGGGTAACATTAAGTATAATAAACATTGAGTATGATTTAATTTATTTTAATACGAGAAGACCATAAAACTTCACTTTACTATGCTCCAGATTAAATTCTTTGGATATTTTTGAGATTCTGCGAAAGTATGAATGAATTTCCTGCTTTATGAATATTGTTAGTGTATTCTTTTTAATATATTACTTTATGAATTATCAGTAGGCCCTCCATAAAGAATTTTTTTGTTACACTCATTATAAATGAGATTCAAGTTTGAAGCTTTTACATTCCTTTAACTAAAAATTCTATGCAAATTTTAATTTAATACTAATTTAATTTATTAAATCCTGTCATTTAATCTGTAATTCCTTTTATTTATCTATATATTTTAATTATAATTTTTTTTTCGAAAAATTTAATTGCAAAACAAATCTATATTACAATGAATACAATTTTTAACTGATTGTGCTCTATAAAAAAAAAGTTAATTCTAAAAATTTGTAAAAAATAAGTCTAACATTTGTATTGAAAAAAAAACAAGCCATAAACAAAATCAATTATTATATTTATAATATATATAATATTAAAAAATAAAATTTAAACACAAAAAATAAGTTATTGATAAAAAAAAATAAAGATTAGAAAAGCGTGTTTTTAAAAAAAAAAATGAAATCACATTGAACGTAAATTAAAAAAAATGATTTAACAAAACCATAAATATAATTTGAAGAAATTAAACAATTTATATAAATGTAGTTAGAAATATTAAAACAAAAACTCAAAAAAAAAACATAAAAGATAAAAATATTTATATACCAAAAATTTAAAAAAAAAAAACTAAAAAAAAAAAATACTATAAAATAAAAGAAAATACAATGTTGTCATACTTAGGATAAACTTATAAAAACAAAAAAACTAATGAAAATTTAAAAAATATGAAAAGCCAAACCAAAAAAAAAAAAACAAAAAAAGATATTAAATTAGTTAAAGAGTAGATGTGAGGAATCATAAAAGCATACTAGAAGTTAAGGTTATACTTAAAAGAAAAGAACATTATAATTATAAAAAAAAATATTATTATTATTATGAAAATAATGTTGTAAATAGTATAAATTATTAAAAACCAAAACAAAAACACACACAAAATATACAATACACACAATGTACATGTAGAAATATAATATGAAAATAATTATTTAGTTTAATTTAAAATATTATAAAACAAAAAAAAATATAACAAAAAGGTTGATTAAAATAAATTATTAAAAAAACCAAAGTTAAAATATTACACATGCATATACATATACATAAACGATAACAAAAAGGTAAAATAAACAAAAAAAAAAAACAAAAATAAAAATATTCAACTAAATATGTGTGTGTGTAGAATGGAAAATATTGTAAAAATAAAATTATTAATCTATAATTAAGAATATTAAAAAAAAAAAATCTAAATAAAAAATATTAAAAAAATAAATAATTAATGTTGAAAAAATTACACAAAATTAAGTTTATTTTAATTTTTTTTTTTGAAAATTAACTTGGAATATCGTAAAATTATTCATTTTAATTGAAAAAAAAAATTAATTAATATTTTAAATTTCTATATTATAATTTTGCTATTTTAATTAGCTTTATCTGTTATTCTAGGTTGGGAAATAACTTTGTGTGAATTTTTTTGTTTCCTGTTAGCCTAATGAGTATACGATATTGATTTGGAACCATTTTTTTAATTTTTAGCAAGACTTTTTCATTATTGATTTACATATTAATAATTATTTGTTTAACTACTCAGTATTTGAATATAATTAGAAGCATCTATATTACCGTATTTACTTGTTACTATACCGTAATAAGTATATTACGTATTTACGGTATTATTATACCGTAATTGATATTAAGAGAAATTAGTGTGAATGAAACAGAAATACCAAAAAAAAAAAATTTATTTCTTAATACGAGTATAACTTTGTTGAAAAGGTGTGTATGTGATTCGAGATTTTTTATTTACGTATTTGCGAACAAAAATGAAGCACATATTTTCTGAGCAAATAATATAATATGTGGTATTATGTAACACAATTATTAAAAACGACTCAAGCTATATATATATACAGTGAGATATTCACCATATAATTAAAATTCGATTTTCATCCAACAACCATAATACCAACAACACAGTCTACATAATATTCTCAATAAATGATATTAGGTGAGCGCATACACATGATTTCATATAATCTCAAATTGTTGTGTGTGTAAATTGTTGTCTCATTTTACTCAATTCTTGAGAGAAAATTTTAAAATTGATTCTCCTCAATTAAAAATTACAAATACTTTTATATTAAAGTATTCGTATAATACAATGCATAACTATTAAAATTTCTCTTATATTTAGTGTTGCTAGAAATTTAAAACGTAAAAAAATTATGAAAAGAAATGAATTTAGGTAATTTTATAAAATTTCCAATCTAGAAACTTTTATTCTAAATTGTTTCATAACAATTAAATTAAATTTATTTACTTAAAAAAAGATATTATAATTATATTCTATTATAAAATAAATATATACATTATATACGAATAAGAATATATTATATATTAAATGGTTGTGCACTTGAAAAACAAACAAAAAATGTGTTTATAAAAATATAAGTTTATTAAAATATATATATGTATATATATATATATAAATTTAATTAAAAATAACAAACAAAATTTTGTGTAAATTAATTTTTACATAAAGATATTTTGTAAAATTTAACAAAACGAAAAAAATAAATAAATAAATCAAAACAAATGATTTAATTAAAAAATCTTAATTAATCATTACAGTTAATTATTATTGTATTATTATTATTATTATTATTATTATTATTATTATTATTATTACAATTATTATAATTGTGTATAATTAATTATTATTAGAAAATTATGTACAATGGAAAACTTAAATATTATTATTACTATTGTATACATGTATGTGTATAAAAAATTTAATATTGAATTAATATTAATTAAATTTTACGTTTGAAAAAGAAAAAATACAAGTTGTTTAAACTTATATAATTAAGGAAAAATGAAAAAAAAAAACTAAAAACTAAAAAACAAAATATTGATATAAAATTTATAATGAAAAAAAAAAAACAAATGTTTGGAGTGCTTTTTATAGTCAGTTTTATTGTAATATTTTATATTATATTTTATATTATTATATACATACATATAAAAATATATATATATATATATATATGTATATATAAAACTAAAATTATTGGAATAAAGAAAAAAATTTGAAAAAAATTTAACGTGTAAGTATAATTTATAATTTATAAAATAAAACAAAACAAAAAAAAAACTTAAAAAAAATACCAAAAAAAACAAGGACAAAAGATTTCGCAAATTATATATTTATATCATAGAGAGAAAAACAGAGAAATAGTTGAAAAAGGAATGCATTATAACATGCAAAAAACTATATGTAAGTAAAATTATATATATATATACATATATATATATATATATAAACATATATATATATATATATATGTATATATATCTGTATATATCTATTTATATATATATATATATATATACATATGTATATATAAATGTATATATATATATATATAATATA